CATGTAGAAATGGGAATCTTATCATGATTCTCCAGAATCTTTGGATTATAGGATTTAGGTAAGGAAATGCTGTTTGTGGCTAACTGGTCTCACTTTATCTCTTTCAGGAAAGTTCACATCCTTGGCTCTTTCCAAAACATCAAGATGGCAAGAACTGCCATTTGCAACCTCATCCTGGGTAATTGCAGTGTACTTTTTGTGTGTGTGTGTGTGTGTATTTTCTCTTGAAATAATAGGGAATTTAGGAATTCAAACCCCATTCGCAAAGCAGTTTAGGTACTGTGGAGAAGCTCTTCTAAGATAGCAAATATGGACCTAGCAAAAAATGTTGAAGTATTTGCTTAGATTCATTTGTCTTCTAGAGAAGATAAAAGTTTTATTGGGTAATATTACTTAAATCTCTGGTGCTGTTCCCTGAGTAAGTACATAAAAAAACATTCCAGAAGAGAGAACACCAGGGGAACTGCTGAAAAGCTTTAGTCGGTTTGTTTCCTTTAGTCCAAGTTGCTCAGAAAACCTGGGGATTCTCCTATTGCTGACAGGCTCCTTTTTGAATTATCTTGATATTCAGTGCCTTTAATTGAGAATATTTGGGTATATTTTTCTGTAGGTTCTTTTCATGATATAAAGTAGATCCAATTTTAAAAATGTCCTTAATCTTATTAGGGTTGTAGACTTTTTTCCATAGAGTCTATGTGAGTATATCAGTGTATGTAAACTACTTATTTTTTCCTTTACAGGAAATCCTCCATCAAAGGTTTATGGCAATATTCGAGCTGTGGCTAGCCGAGCAGCAGATCGGTTCTGATTTCAAATCAAGAGACTTTTTATCTCATTTTGGACTCTTAAAGAAAAAGACCTTGTACCCTGAAGGTGATCACATGAAACCATGTGAATTATTTTTTAGTCACTTTGAGACTGGATCCTTTCTTCTGTTCTCAGCAAGAAGTATAAACAGGAAAGATTTAATAGTATTCACACTGAATAGCTTTTTGGATAATTTAAATGACAGAATCTAATATTATTATTATACCTACACGTTAAGCTTTATTTTTTTGTTTTTTGGTTTTTCTTTTTAATGTTGGGAATTGAACCAAGAGACTCCTCATGCATAGTAGACAAACATTCTTCCACTAAGCTACAGCCCAACCCTTCTTTACTCTTTTTTTTTTTTTTTTTTTTTGAGATAGGGTCTACTTAAGTTGTCCAGGCTGCCTCAAACTTGCAATTCTCCTGCCTCAGATTCTCAAGTAGCTGGGATTACAGACTTGTGACACCACAACCAGCAATTTCTCGTGTTTTTTATTTTAAATCACAGAAAACAGATTTGCAATTTGGAATTCTCTCATGTAGAGGAAATTTCTTGCTTAAACAACTTCTGTATGAATTTTTAAGTTTTTATTTATAAATTTATAAACATTTCTATAAATTGTAATTAAAAGAATTATCTCAAATAACCTATGAATCATGACTTTTCCTTAATACTGGTATTATGGAAACACTTTAGAATCAGGTCATGAGCAGCAGTTTGACTCTACTGTATGAACCAATAACTGATAATCTTTTATACCAGTTATGAAGTTTCTAAAATTAAAGACCTGCATCACAAGGTTGATGTGAAAGTTTTTCAAATATTTAACAAAGTAGTCAGACAAAAGATGTTGGATATATTTCTCCTAATCAGCGAAGTAGTAAAAAAAAAAAATCCCCTCCCCCAAAAAACTGTTCTGCAAATGCAGTGATAAACTAGTGTCTGATAAGCTATGATCTGATTATTTTATTCATTTTTAAAAGGGAAGGAACCTACCCCATAACTCGTTTGATGTTGATAACTATTCTCTGGTATAAATGAATAACACTTGACCAAAACTTTTAATGATGGGAGTAACAGAAAGTTCACTCAAGAATTAAACATATTCTTATTAAACTTTGTTTGTACTCTATCAGTTACATGTGTCCCAAACTAAACTACTTTTTACATTGCATTGGTTGGAATATTCTTAACCAACCAAGAATCCAGCTGGAAATTGCGGAGTGAGTCCCACCCATTGGCATGGGGAATGTGTAAGTGTAGGTATTACAATCCTTTACTTGCCTTGTTGAAGTGTATCTTGGGACTTTGTTATTACTGCAGCCTGTACAGTCTTTTTTTTTTTTTTTTTTTTAAGTGCTCTACCGCTGAGCCACAACCCCAGCCCAACAGCCTGTACAGTCTTTAGGCATTATTGCCCTTCCACCCCACTCTTTGCCCAGGATGGTACTTTCAAAACTGACTACTCCTTAGTATATATATTTTTTAGGAAACAAAGTTGACAGCTTTAATCCAGTTCCCAAGCAGTTAGACTGAAGTGAACCATTACAAGGCAACTATAAATGTTTTGTGTTTGTTTTTAAGGAACTGAGGCAGGAAGTAAAGGGCATAATTTTGATTAGAAAACTTTGAGTTCTCTTAAAGTGAAATAATGTTTTGGTTTTGTTAGAATATACTTCCTTTTAAGGATTTATTATGTAGTTGCAACTATCAGTAATAGAGCAAACATGTTTCCTTGGTATCTAAAAATTTGGGATGCTGAACTTGAAAGACTTGTTTTGAGCCCCTCTTTAGTCAACAATTTATATTACACCCCTTCTGGGGGGTGGGGCGTAGTAGCACTTTGGGTTTTAAAGGGAGATAGCATGTTAGAGGGTAGCTGATTGTTGGAATAGAAAAGGATGAAGATAATAAATTTGACTATATCACACTGGTAGTTGATCTCAACAGCCTGGATCAAATCATTTTAAACCCTTCTCTTTAAGGCAGCGCACTAAGTCTAATCTCAAAACCTATCCAGGCTTATCCACATTTCTATAGCATTTGTTGTGTTTATTAAAATTATCATGAATGCCTATTATGATTGTCAGATATCAGCATCACAATTCCTATTCTGATTTATTAGTTTACTGATGTAATTAATACATGCCTGGGTGATGGGCCCAGGAGTATTTTCTTAGGTATTCTGTGGCTAAGGGAGGAGGCTGAGGGTTTTCTCGTCATTTCAGAAGACTTGGGCTCCAACTCTTAGGCTGCCTGGAAATATGATGGTAGGTAAGAAACCTAATGTTTGTTGATCATGTGAGAAATAGCCCTACTTTTCTTGATCCTAGAGCCATATTAACCATGTTAAGATGGGAAGCATGTTTAATGTTAGATTCCTGAAAGTATACAGTGACAACACACATAACCATTCTATAACTTATAAAATACTTGTGCGAAAAATCAATTATTTCTTTGGTCAAAGAAACCAATGAATTCTACAGAAGGCTTGAGAGATCAAGGACTCACCCGTTTGATTTGGTTAGCTGATAGATTTTAATGCCCAATGGAAGTGAAAGATTGAAATAGCAGTGGACTTAAATGTTTAGCTAATGCAAGGGGAAATTTTTTAGTGTAGGGAATCTTTGAAGACTAAGAATATTTCAGGACCTGAGCTTGAACACCATTTTCTTAGTAAGTTCTGAAAATTACGAAAGATAGAAATTCTCTTACCATCTATTAAAAAAAAAAAAAAGTTCTAAAATAGCTTACCACTTTAAACCATTTTTGATTGTACATACAATTGGGTGACAAAGTTCATTGACGCTGTTGTGCAGCCATCACTACTGTCAATCTCCAAAACTGTTATCTTCTGCAACTGAAACTGTACCCATCATTTTAACATTCTTAATTCTCTCCCCCCAGCCTTTGGCAGCCACCATTCTTTCTTTTTTATTTACTTTTTGTCCAGAATCTCACATTTCATTTAACATCTTTGAGGTTCACCCATGTTATATAACGTGTCAAGTTTTCCTTCTTGTTATGGCAAAAATCCCATTGTATACCACCTTTTCTCTATCTGCAGAACACTTGGGCTGCTTTCACCTTTTGGTGGAATATTATGAATGCTGCTGCCCAGAACACAGGTATACAAATATATATTTGAGTCCCTGCTTTTATTTCTTTGGGGTATATGTACACAGAAGTGGAATTACTGGATCACATAGTAAATTGTTTAATATTTTGAGTTTATGCCATATTCCTTTCCACAGTGGTTGTACCATTTGACATTCTCACCAGCAGTACTGTCGTCTTTCAATTTTTATACATCCTCCCAACTCATTCCCTTTGTGTAATATTCCATCTGTTATTGTTGATGGACATCGATTTATTTTATGGTGCTGAGAATCGAACCCAGTGCTTCACACATGCTAGGCAAGCACTCTACCACTGAGCCACAACCCTAGCCCTGTGACATTCCATCTATTACAATTAGTAAATGGTATCTCATTGTGACTAATTTGCATTTCCTTCACAACTAGTGCTGGTGAGCAACATTTTGTGTTTAGTGGTCATTTCTATATCTTTGCAGAAATGTGTATTCAAGACCTTTGACCATTATTTTAATTAGGTTTTTAGTAGTTTTTCAATACCTCCAATACATGGTTAGCAAGTATTTTCTCCTACCCATGTGTGTTGCCATTTTACTTAATGGAGAGAGATCCTGTCTACACTTAAAAGACAGTTACAATCAGATAAAGGAGATGGAGAGCTTAAATGCATACGTTCGCTTAGGCTGAACTATTCTATACACCTCAGATATGGAGGAGCCACATAGAACTCAATGTATAAATCTCTCATAACCAGTGAGTACCTGACAATATGGATGTTTCAGGTGTAAAACATACCCAATGTTCCATAACTTAGCTAGGCCAGGGATAACATTTACCTGTCAAGAGTATCTGAAGTACCTAATACAGTGAAGTATATTCAGGGACTCTATAGTTGTTGAATTAAAGTCTTAAAAATACTAATTTTCACATTTATGCAGGGTGATAAAGTACTATAAATCACATAAGATCACAAACCATTTAATCCCATTTAATAAATGGGATCACATTTATTAAATAAATATCCAGCCAACACTACAAAACTAGGTAATAAGAACCACTGGAGCTCTCGGCAGAAAAAAGATACAAATCACCAATCTGGTGGAATTTTCATGCAATTTATTCTACAGCCAAGGAAGATAAAATACATAACCATGTCAGAAATAGGGCGAGGAGGATGAGTGGAGTAAAGGAGACTCAGGGGTATATGTATTTTTAAATTGGTGACCAAAAGATGAGAGTAAACTGAAAGCCCCAGGTACTACAACGAGGCTAAAATGCCTGGAGAAAGGGTAAACATTGACAGATTAGGTAAGTAATGATGGGGGAGTACTATAGGGCTTTGTAATGACCTGCTGTTTTACCCAGCAATAAAGCAGATAAATTTTACCTATGAGTTAAAGTGAAAAATCAAACCTCATTTTATGAGAGCTTTTAAGAAATATAAAAGAAGGAAGAAAAACTGAGAGCTGTGTAAGTCTATCAAACACCACTGAAAACATTCAAGCAAGTTTCAAATATTTTATTTTCTTATTCATACAGTATGAAGTTTTCTAAAGATCCCACAACATGACGTATCATGCAGAAGAAAAACTAAACATTCAACATAAACCACCCCCTCCCTTGCCCACCCTTCACACAAACTAAAAAAGAGGAAGGAAAAAAAAAAAGGGAAAGAAAACCCCTCATTCCCGAGTAAGGAAATAATGTTTGCACTATTTTTCTATAACGCCAGCCAAGATATGCACAAGCAAGAGAAATAGAAAGCATTTGCTAAAATATCGGTAACAAATAATTATGTACAAAAAATTCACAAAAGACTAGTTCCCCCTTGAAGCAGAGCACATGGCAGTTGACACTGGAACAGATCAAACCACTGGCTGGGATTGTAAGCCACGTACTGATCCAGAGGAAGAAAGTTACATGTAGTGGAGATTTTCAGTTTGAACATTAACATTTCCAAAGTTTGGCAACATTATCTTTTAAAATTATGCAAATTATGTAAACAAGAGGTACATTTTAAATCGATCTACATGCAAAACTCCATGTCATGCAAGGACACCAAGCACCGGGATTTTTCTCTCACAGACAGAGCCCATGATGTGCAGCACTCAGTTGAAGGAACAGCGATGGCAGGCAGGTGTATTCAATTTAAGATTCATCCACCTTGATTTGACCTGCCCTTTACCACTCATGATTACAAAACCAGTTTTTATAGAAAAACTATATAGGGAAAGACTATTGTCATATAAAGCTACCCAAAATGTTTTTCTTCCAGCCAATAGTACCTTTGCAGAAAAGGGAAGGGATAACATCAAGTGGTGGAACATGATACACTACTTTTATATCACACAAATTTATTAAGTTACCATCCATTACCAATTGTATGGGCAAACAAAAAAAAAAAAATCATGCGCTTCCTATGCCTTATAAAAAAGTTTATGCAGTATCAATTTAGATAAAATTTTGCTCTTCTGTGGCATACAGATTAGCAAGATTTCTCCCATTTAAATCACAAATGTGTGGGTGTTTAGATACATACATGCACATTAATGTCACCAGTTTCTTAGATTAGCTGCAAGTCTTTTGAAACACAGAAGGGAAACTCATGATTCAAACAGGACTTTATAAACAAATTATTCATCCATATATAATGAAACAAACAGATACCGTAAGCAGTTACATGATTACTTCAGGTTTTCATTAAGTAATGCTAAAGAGAAATCATGAATGCCTCAGATAGCTTCTGGTCTTTATAAAACCACAACTGAAAAATTATGTTTACTCAGGGACATTTAATAAATGTAATGGTTCCTACTCACAAAGTAACAGAAGGAAGCAGCCATAGCGATGTGTAGTCACTATATGAACACAAGAACTAGCTCTTGGCAGCAGCACTGAACTATACTTTCTCCTCAGCCAGAGATGGATTAAACTGCTCAACAATGAGACTTAGTCCCCGGAAATATATTCATAGGTATAAATAAAGTTATAGACTCCTTTGTTACAAAACTGTAATTAAGGTAAATAATAGGACATTAACAAATGCTTTGTCAATCTCTCAAAGGAGAAAGCACAGGAAAAGAAAAATAGCTGGCCTAACACCCGGCTCAAATTGTACAATCTTCTATCTACATATAAAACTGTGTGAAATAAAAGTAAGGATGTTTTATGTTCTGCTTGGCACTTTTGTACTCTATCGTTTTGTTTCTGAATCAAGTATATTAAATTAAAGCCAACCTACTACATATATAGAAAGCTACATATATCTATATATAAATATTTACATATGTATATATAGATACTTTCTTGTTATAAAAGATGAAGAAAAATAAATTAAAAAGCCAACCCCTTCCCTTTCTCCACCACATGGATATGCTCTTTTCATGTTGCTGTCCTTCAGACTTTAAAGTGCTACACTGAGTTATTGAGAGAAGAGAGTTCAATAACACTTAGTTGGCTTCATGAGGCTCATGTTGGAAATGTGGCTTCACAGAGAAAAATACTTCCATTTAAATACACAGAGAGCATTGCTGGACGTCTTGAGCAGATCTTCAGAGATGGAGAAGAAAGCAAAAGTGTTGGATGGTACTCTTCAGAGAGTCACACATCTACCACCATCTTTTTGTGGATATCTAGGCCACCTACCACCTGCAATAGCCAGGAATAAATCAAGGTTAGCAACATTTGAGAAATGCCTTTAATAGTCTAGCCATCTTATCAAAATAAAAATCTTTTAAGTTTGAATTTAAAAATATATTACTATAGACATTTTTGGAGGCTGTATTTTTTACAAAAATACTTGAGTGCCTCCAGTTGGAATTTCATGGTTTCTTCCTTCTACAGTAATAAGCATTTTTGTGTTCTAATACAAGGGTCATTAAACTTGTTCTATGAAAGGCCAGTATGTAGTTCCTTTTGCACTTTCTTCTGAAAACAAAACAAAAAAAACTAAAAATTGTAAAAAGTGTTCATTAGTTTAAAAACAGGCCAGAAACAGAATTTGTCCTGCTCTCTAGTTTACTGACTCCTACTCTAGTAATTTAATATTACATGACAACCAGATGTTACCATAAAAAATTGTCCTCAAAACTTAATGCAGTCTTTACTGTCACTTTACTTCTAGAAGGTATTAAAAAATTCCAGGGGCTGGGGTTGTGGCTCAGTGGTAGAGTGCTTGCCTAGCATATGAGGCACTAGGTTCAATTCTCCCACATATAAGAAAATAAAGGTCCATTTACAATTAAAAAAAAAAAAATTTAATTCCAAACAAGTTAAACTTTCTAACCCATTATTTTTCCCTGGAGTAATACACATGTTAGTGATTACCGACATAGTAATCTAAAAGTGTAATCACCTGTACAATTCTGAGGGGATGTTTTATCATCAGATATAATCTACATAAAGAGAACACATAAATCCTAAATATCCTCAGCCTGTTGAGTTTCACAAAGTGAACACCCAAGTAACCTACATACGTGCCATTACCAGAATTCCTCTCTGGCCCTCTTCCAGGTAACAATCCCTCCTACCCCCAAAGCCAAGCTACTATCTTGAATTTTAAACACCAGGAATTACTTTTGTCTGTTTCATAAATGGAATCTCTTTCATATCTGGCTTCTTCCACCCAACATTATGTTTGTGAGATTAATCCATGTTGTTTTATATAGTAGCACTTGTATTATTTTTATACTTAAACACGTTTTGTTGTGTTATTTTTCTTCAATACTGAGGATGGAACCCAGAACCTCACACATGCTAGGCAAGCACTCTACCACTGAACTACATCCCCAGCCTTTTTAAAAATTTCATTTTGAGTCAGGGTTGCCCAGGCTAGCCTGGAACTTTTGATCCTCCTGCCTTAGTCTCCCAATAGCTGGGTTACAAGCATACACCATCACACCTAAGTTTTTTTTTTTTTTTTTGGAAGTGGGGGTACCAAGGATTGAACTCAGGAGCATTCGACTACTGAACCATATCCTCAGCCCTATTTTGTATTTTATTTAGAAACAGGGTCTGAGTTGCTTAGCACCTCACTTTTGCTGAGGCTGGCTTTGAACTCACAATCCTCCTGTCTCAGCCTCCCGAGCCGCTGGGATTACTACAGGCATGCACCACCATGCCAGCTCTGACCTAAGCTTTTTAAAAATATTTTTTTATTTGAAAAATACAATATAAAGAGGAATTCTGTCGATAAGCCCTACTAAGAAACGAGCAGTTTTTCTATCCTGTTCTCATTCACTATTTCTTTTTATGAAAAATCACTTAAAAAAATTCAGCTGACTTTCAGTATTTACCATTAGAGGTCAGAAAATAGCATTCCTACATTGTTTTTTCTTAATTCTAAAGCTCTGGCCATTTTTCATGAACTTCCCACCACAAAAGATAAAGATTTAGCTTTCACATACACATTTCCTCCCTTATGTATTTTCCATCCTCCACATCCTTCCTAAGTTTATCTCTATTTTAATTGGCAGATATTAGGCATTTCACATTATTATGAAAATATGTTTTACATCACTATGAAAATATGTTTTATGTTCTGCTTGGCACTTTTGTACTCTTATTGTTTTGTTTCTGCATCAAGTATACTAAATTAAAGCCAACCTACTACATGTATAGAAAGCTACATATATCTCTATATTTACATATAAATGAAATATTACTAGCAGCTGAACAAAATTGCATACTATTACTTTTTTTTCCCTACACATTTGTTTTAGTACACTACAGATCATTTCCTCTGCTGAGTGTTCTATTGTTCGACCCCCAAATTTTGTTCTAGAAACATTTGAGTACATATAGTATGTCATTTTATTGTCCTGAAGGCACTCCCAGAGCCTCTCATCTCTGCCCCTCTCCTTCACCATCATCCTGGAGGTCTCCTCCTCCTCTCTCATGATGAATTCTCTGCTTTTGAGATCCCACAGTAAACTCTTTTTACAGTATGACATTACAGAATGAGTAAATCTTCTGGTAGTTTCCAAAACAGGTAAGCTTTACTTGAAAATGTTTTCATTCTACCATCTAATTTGAATTTATAGAGAATTCTAGATTGAAAATAACTAGGTCCCTCAGAATTGCAAAAGCAATACTCCAATTTCTTTTGGTTTCCAACTCTGTTTCTGAGAAACTCAGTGCCATTATGATTCTTGACTCTGTAAGAAGTCCCTCTCCAACTCTTCCACCTTACTATATCCCCAGCTCTGTAAATTTGCAGGTTCATCTCTTTGTTCCAATTGTTTTGAAATTTCATGACAATGTGCCTATGTCCAGATGAGTTTTCTATTACCATACTGGGTACTCAGTAAATCCTTTCAGTCCAGAAATACATTGCTTTCGGTTCTGAGATATTTTCTCAACTCCCTCCCAAGTAGCTGGGATCACAAGTGTGTGTCACCACACCTATAAATAATGTTACATTTAATATTTACTAAATAAATGCAAGCAGTCTTCACTCCCACCATCCCCAGCCACCCACCTTGTTGCTCACTTTAGCCAGACCCTGTGCTGGGGAAGAGAAGGTAGTGGCACTCAGACCTTCCAATATACTCCCAGGCACTGTCACAGCAGTCTTCATTCATATGCATCTCTACCACTCCAGTCATGAGGTTTTTTTACTTATTTTATTCTTCCAAGAATTGAGATTTCTTCTTTTCTTTCTTTAAAACACTGTTGTCTACAATGCCACTACCAGCCTGGTCTCACGTCACACTCAACCATTTGCCAGTCCATGAGAGTCATTCAGAGATCTCTGGCAATGGTGAAAGAGGACAAACAGAAGGGAGACCAACACTTGTACCAGTACCAACTGGAAACAGTGCAGTCTTAAACCCATCTAACTCTTCCAAAAAGACATAACCAATTCTTTATGGTAGTGTACCACACTATCTTGTGAAACAAAATATAAAGATAAGTATTCTCTTGCAAGGAAGGAAGGAAGATGTTCTCAGAATATCATGAACTTCTACTGAAATGCCAAAGTAGAAGTCCTTGCACAACACACAGTTAACTAACAAAGTGACCTGCTTTTCCTTGTGTGATTTAAACTGAAAGAAAGAAAGAGAGGGAGGGAAGGGAAAACTTCCTATAGAAGCATCCGAACATGACTGAAAATTTGTTACCTTTGTCTCTACTATGGATGCTTCTATATTCTCTTCTATCTGCAGTTTGCAATTATGATTCCTTATGATACATCAAAAGCTAGTATCCTTGCTTTAAGTGTAGAAGTAGAAAAATAAATCTGAGTGGTTATATTTCTGTTTGGAAGCAATGAGTGGTGCCAATTCCATAGATCCACTGATGAAAATCACCAAATGAATATCTAAGCTATTACCCCATTTTCATGTAGATTTGGATTCCTAAGTCTCCCACAACTATAGTCCCCTCTCTACACAGAGCCCTTACCCTAGAACAACTATCCACCAGAAGCTTGGAAAAGGAGGGTGTAAATCACCATATATGGCAGATAAGTTTGGGATGGTCAGGGACTCCCCATTTCTGTTGTCCTTATGAAGCAGTTTCAGTATTCCTAGCTGAAATTCATGAACATATATTTCCCACAGAAGCATTTTTCAAATGTGCCTACTTAAAAAATAAACCTTAAGAATAACAACCTAGTTGTAATTTGGAAGCTACTAATAATAAGCAGAAGTTACTAGTGGCATTTTGTAACAAAAAGACTAAGAACATTAATTCCTGAGAATAATTATGTTAATTATTAATAATTCAAACAAAGAACACATTTCAAAACTCTGAATATGGGGCTATCAGGCCAAACTGAACATATATATTTTAGGGCAAAATATCTATAAGAAATTATCTATTAAATGATCTTTAGATTGTTTTTAATATGAATAATAAGTAAAACAGTTCTTTCATACTTACAGCACAGAATTCTTCAAAGGATATTCTCCCATCTCCATCCTTATCTGCGTTTATTATGGTTTTGTCTACAATTTGCTGTAACTGTGTGTCTTTCAGATTGTTCCCAACCATCATTTTCAACACCTGGAAGAGTTCCCCATTGGAAATATAGCCATCTTTATCCATGTCATAGATACGGAAAGCAACTAAAAAAGAGAGGAAGAAAAATCCATGGCAGTTGTAAGCAATCACATGAGTACTTTAAGTGAAAAACAAAAACAAAAACAAAACAGTAAATTACCAAACATCTGGAATTACGACTCTGAGGATGATGCCTTCCCTAAATATAGATGTTGCCTTTGGTGGGATTAACATAGTTGTTAAGATGGGCTTACAGAGTCAAGATTGGCTGGGTGAAACAGTGTATGTAGCCTAGGTTGTTTAACCATATTTAGAACTAGGGATAACAACAGGTCCAGTTTCTTAGGTTCTTCAGAACATTTCTTGCTACTTTCATTAGAAACAAACAAACAACAACAAAAACAACACTTCTTTATCCATACCATATATGTAATTTATATTACTGTTTTCAGTAGAAGGAAATTCTATTTTTCTTCTATACAATATAACCATACATAACCATACAGTATTCAAACATACTAGTTGAAAATGTGCAAATGTAAAATTTGTGTTATGTCTAAACATCCAGAATAAAAGAAATTGTTTAGAATATTTTAAAAGAAGTCTGTAATGTAGTATAGGATAGTAGCAGTTTAAGAGGGATAATGAAGTCAGTAAAGTAAAATACTTACACCGCAATTTCTGCTCCTTATCTCCTTTGACACTGAACTGAGAGACTCCCTCAATGAATTCTGAATAAAAAGAGTTAAAATGTTTAAAAATCTGAACTTTAATGTTTTACATAGAAAACCAGTATTTACCTTACATACCCACAAAAGGATATTTCCCTGTATAAGACAATTCTATACTAGCATGTTGAAAGTTGAAAGCGCTGAATTTAAACATTCACAATCAAGGCTCTACATTTCTCCCCACCTTATTTGGAGTCTTCTAAGATTAATTAATTTGAATAAATATTTTAAGTATTATAAACCACACTCAAAAACATATTATTGAAGCTATTTACCTCTTTCCTCTTAGGATATAATTTAAAAGGGACTAAAAAAATAAAAAGACTATAAACTGTTTTGCCAGAACAAAAATAATTTTGAATTACTGTCCTAAAATTCAGTGTATTTATACACTGTAGGGATTTGCATACAAATTATTATTTTTCATCATTACCTGATAAACACTAAATCATAATTGATTTTAGATCCCTTCACTTATCATTCAGTTTCTCAAATTAAATTGACAAAGCCTGCTGGAAACTTACTAGTGAAATGAGGTATTTATTTACTTATTTAGTAAAGAATTAAAGTAAAATGATGTATCATGTTAGTATTAGCAAAAGCACAATGTCTTTGTAAAATCTAGATTAACTAAAACAAATTAAAACTATGATATAACATATCCTTATCACTATAATTTAATTGCTTAGTATGTAGGTCTCACTCTTAAAAAAGAAAAAGGTTTTTAAAAACTGCAACTTCTGGGGCTGGGGATATAGCTCAGTGGGTAGAGTGCTTGCCTTGTATGCACAAGGCACTGGGTTCAATCCCCAGCACAAAAAAAAAAAAAAAACAAAAACCCTGTAACTTCTAATATTATAAATTAGCCTAGAGTGAAAATCATCTTCTAAAAACAAAGGAAAAAAAACGAATCTCCCTTTTTGGGGTCAGAATGCCCTAAAGGTACCTTGATCACTTATGAATCAAGAAGTAAAATAGTTCACTAAAGTGTATATACTACAGATTTTAAGGTTTTAAGATAATGTTTTACTATAACATCACCAAAATAAAAATTTAAGAAAAAGTAAAAGTTCCAGATGTTTATGTATATATAGCTATAAGGCTACTCACAACTAGTGATTTAAAAAACAAAACAAAAAACCCCAATCTATTTTCTTACCTTTAAAGTCTACTTCTCCATTCCCATCTGTGTCAAATATATCTATTACTCGTTGTACTAAAGGATTCTGTTGTAACTCAGGCAGAGACATGAACTCTTCCACACTCAAAGAACCAGAATTGTCCAAATCCAGCTTCTTAAATCTTTTTCCTAGCCTTTTAATTTCATCAGCATCAACTAAATGCAAACACAAAAAAAGTAGCAAGATTTTTTAGAAATGATTTTATAATGGTTATAGAAAAAAATTCAGCAGTTATCCAATCCTTTAAGTTCCGATTTCATTAAAAGAGTTACATACACTGTTAAATAATTTCTCCTAATAGAGTACAACATAAATATTTTCATTTGGTTACCTTTCTGTTTGTTTGTCCCTGCCATAACATACAACAAACTATACACAAAGTACCCAGATATCTCAGGACTGACAACACTAAGCTGATCATGGAGGTCACACAAGATATCCCAGGACTAATATCACTAAGCTGATCACAGAGGTCCTACTAGACAAGCTAAATCAATCTCTGCTCTGTACTAAAGCACCTTTATTTTCACTTTCTTAATTTTTAATTTACTTTACTTTTAACAGTTTGATGCAAACTTCAAAGGCTATTCAAAATTCAAAAATTCTAACATTCCCCTTCCATCTCACCCCTTGAGATCTATTTCCTTTCTTGGAGGCAATATGACCAGCTTCTTGAATATTCTTACATTTTAGATCAGTTCTTGAAACTCTTTCAAGTATGAGTAACTAAAAGACAGCTTCTTTTACTTCTCTGACCAAAACCAAACCAAACCAAACCAAAAAAAAAAAAAAAAAGCTAACAAAATTCACTCGTCAACACCTTAAGAGAAAAAAATAACTATGATTTTTTAAGAAATGCTTGTATTACTTTGTAAGTACTCTATAAAAATTCAGGCAGTTTGTTCTGTTTTGGTACTAGGGATTGAACCACAAGCCCAGCACCCCCCCCCTCCCTTTTTTAAGTTTCTTATTTTGAGACAGGGTTTTGCTAAGTTGCTGAGGCTGTCTTTGAATTTGGGATCCTTCTGCCTCAGCCTCCCAGCTGATGGATTACAGGCATGTACCGCCCACTCAACGTTCTTCAAAAAGGTTTACGTCATTTTCTTTCAAAAAATAATAAAAATATATACCAAAAAATTAAACAAAACCACCAGTTTTTTTTAAAGAAAATTAACAAGGCAAATGTCACTTTGCCCATGAATATATATGTATCACAGTTATATTAGAGAAGAGACCACAAACTGGTTTTCAGTTTAGTTTAGCTTTATTATAAACTGGGTGTTGAACCCCGGGGCACTCTACCACTGAGCTATATCCCTAGCCACTGTTATTTTATTATTTTGAGACAGGGTCTTGCTAAATTGCCCAGGCTGACCTTGAACCTGGCAATCCTCTTGCCTAGGGCCTCCTCAGTTACTGGAATTACATGTGTACCACTGTGCCCAAATGTTGTTTTAATCCTCACTTTAGGAACTTAAACATTAAAGTGCATATTTAAAATATAAAGGTACTATATTAAAATGCTACATAACTATATGTAATTTTCTTCACTACTAAAGTACAGACTGAAAATGCTACACATAGTGCTCTAGTATTTTCCATGAAAGGTTTTAATCCCTTAATCCTAAGGAGTTCTGTTTTTCATGGTGGGGGGCACCTATTTCAGTTCGCTGAATTGAATGGTTTGATGTCTGGTTAGATTGAGTTTTACTTTAAATAAGATAATGCTCTAATATGAATATAGCTATAAGATAATACTCTAATATGAATAATTCCAGTATAATTGACAGAGGGAAATAATGTCAGTACAACATATAAACTTCATGAATCTGTCTGATGCTCTTAGGTTTATGATGGGGTTCTATACCAAAAAACTCATGATAATGCAAAACATCATAAATGGAAAATGCATACAATAAACCTAAACAGCAAACATAATAATTTAGCCTTGCCTACCTCAAATATACTAAGAACACTCTAACCTACAGTTGGGCAAAATCATTTAATACAAAGCCTATTTTATACTAAAATATTGAACACCTCATATAATTTTTTGAATATATGTATTGGGAACAGTACACTGTATAACATCAGCTGTTCATCTTCATGATCAGGTGGCTAATTGTGAGCTATCGCTTGTTGTGCTACCCAGCATCTTGAGATTATTATACTGCATATCAATTAGACCAGGAAAATATCAAAATTCAAAGTACATTCTCTATTAAATATGTGTATATTGCTTTCGAGCCATCGTAACTCAAGGGGCAGGTTTTCTCAAAAAGGAAGTCTTAGTATATAAAAACCTTAAGGTAAAACGGTAAACAAGGAGTGCCTTCCTGCTGGGCTTGGTGGCACAGGAACTCAGGAGGCTAAGGGAGGAGGATCACAAGTTCAAAGCCAGCCTCAGTAACTTAGCCAGATCCTGTCTCAAAATAAAGAGTGCTGAGGATGTAGCTCAGTGGTAAAGTGCCCCTGGATTCAATCTACCAAGAGGGGAGAGGGGCAAGTATCTTCTTTTAGAGAAATTAACAGCAAATTTAATAGTTTCAAGAACCTCAAGGCTTCTGTTGAAAACTAAAGGTGCAGATGAAGACACAAATATAATTTCTCTGTTTTTTTTGTTTTGTTTTTAACTACCTGCCCTCAAAATACTATTTTAAAAGGTGGCTATTCATTGGCTCGCCATTAATGTTAAAATTAGTTTCTACTGAAATAAATGACTTCAAGAACCTGTATCTCAAAATAAATGTTTAAGGCGCATGTGACTAACTATGTCATTTAATACAAATGCCAGAATTTGTACTTATATTTTTAAAGATCATTACTATTTATAATAGCGCTTTGTGAGTTGCATCAGTGTCCAGCCAACCAATATTTTTCCCACATGTGATTTTGCACCATGTGTGGCTTATCGGAAACACATATATTGTATTTTTTAAGAAAACTTTACATTGATTTAATGAAAATATTCATCCACTTCTAACAGTAAGATAACACACATGTTCAAAATAACCTAATAAAAATTCAAATATACACTTAATGATCACATCAACTATATAAAACATTTGATTGCTCTACTAAAGAGTAGTTGTTCAGTAGAACAGATGACAAAAGCAATGTATTTTCCCTTTATCCATTAGAAAATCAGATACCCTTACTCTTGGGGAAGGAGTGTGACAATGTCTTACAAATGCTTTCCCCTATTTATTTACACAGCTCTTCTACCTCAAGAGTCAGCCCACAGTTTTTTCACTGGTTTTCTGTACAATGCATATAATAGATGCTCATAAATGTTTTAAGCACTAATAAATGTTTCACACTTAAAACATATTGATCAAAATGCCATCAATATTTATAGTTATACATAGTAGCTGGTTTCATCCTAACGAAATCATACATGCATGGAATCGGATCCACTCAATTTCAGTCCCTGCTCCCTCCTCCCTGTCCCCTTCCCTTCACTGATCTTCCCCTTCCTCATCATTTATCCATCCTTGATTGGTACCTTCTACACACACACATGAAGGTAAGGTTTCCTGTAGTATATTTATATACGTACATAAGGTGATTTTGTTAAATTGATTCCACATTTCCTCACCTTTCCTGTCCCTCCTCCCTCCCTCTTAATCTCCGACACTCACTGATCTTCCCCATACCTTATGATATCCAATCCCTACCCCCACACTTTTTGTTCTAACATCCACATATAAAAGAACACATTCAACCCTTGATTTTCTGAGTCTGATTTATTTCATAGTATAATGTTCTCCATTTCTATCCATTTGCTGGCAAATGGCTTAATTTCATTCTTCTTAATGGCTGAGTAAAACTCTATTGTATGTATATTCACCATATTTTCTTAATTCATTCATCTACCGACAGGCATCTGGGCTGATTCCTTAATTTGGTTATTGTGAATTGTTCAGGTGAGCTTTTGAGATTATGTGGTCAGTAGAAATACCAAGAAATGGAGCCAGGCAAAGTAAAATCACCAAGACAAGGCCAATGAGATAGGACAACAGTCTGCCCCATTCTGAAAATAATATCAGAGACTTCCTCAGAGGATAAGGGACAAATTCCTGATGGTAAGGGAAAGACACATGCAAAGAATCATCACTGAAATAACTCAGTTACCTTTACCTTATCACAGTATGGTAAAACATTCCCCAAGATGGAGACACATGGTAATAAGAAACAATGCATGAAGAAGAATGATGGAAGTGTAGGCACAACTAGGATCCCACCTCTGTAAGTGAAGACATCAAGACACAGAGTTCCTGCCTACCTAGCAGACACCATAAAAGTTGTAAACTTTTGTCCTTTGACATTCTTGGTTGATGCCTAATAAAATTCTTGTCTGTGCTTAAATTCTTTTCAGGTTCAGTTTTTGTTTCTACCAACTCTGGACCCAAGGACTCAGTTTGGTAACAAAATCATTCAGACCAGTTTCTCAAAATTCATAGATTTTGCTAAAAAGCTACCTGTCCATACTTGCCTTGGTTTTACATGTGTACCACAGACTAGTTAACAGCTTTCTTCTCAAAATCTAGCTTTGCTTACTTTACAACCACAGACCAGAAAAGGTAATGATTGGGAAAACAGATCACTGGGAATATTAGAAGTGGAAAAGGAAAAATGACATTTCCACAAAAGTAGATGAATCACTTCCTCTAGATGGTATCATTAATGGAAAAAGAAAAAGGAGAAATGTAGCACTATAATATTTGTGGAAACTATTATATTCTGTATGTTGAAGCATGGAGATACATAACTGTATAGAAAGTTGTCTACAGTGAAACTGAAACTGAGGCATTGAAAGGATTGTCAACTAGAAAAAAACCCTACTAATCAGGAAGACAGTATTTCATAGTCTTGAATAATACTAAGAATTCTGGAGGTGTGGTTCAGGGGTATAGCTGATTCTACGCACATATACAAGGTACTGGATCCAACCTCTGATACAAAAAACTTTTAATAATAATTTTTCTTTTTGGAAAAGAATATGGAAGATGATCATCAAATAAATATATCTGGCCCAACGCATCCTTCTTTACATTGCAAACATTAATCCTTTTGTTTGTGTTTGTGCACAATGTGTGCATGTTGCTAGGGATAGAACCCAAGGACTGGTGGCGTGCTAGCCAAGTGCTCTACC